CCTTCTCATGATCACACAGGTGATGCACACCTATAGGTTCTGACACAGTGAAGAATATGGTAAATGGATTGTTCTTGCATATATAATGCTTTTCTAGTATTATCCAATCCAATCCAATCCAACTTTATTTGTTAAGCACTTTAAAAACAACCAAAGTTGACCTAAGTGCTGTACAGGAGAATAAATAGGACATCATAAATGTAAACAGTGATGGTGATGATGAAGACCACTGTGAGGAATATAGACAGTGATGGTGATGATGAAGACCACTGTGAGGAATATAGACAGTGATGGTGATGATGAAGACCACTGTGAGGAATATAGACAGTGATGGCGACAACACTGGAAAGTTCCCGTGGCAGACAACACGGACGAAGTCCGACGGCGACGGACAATGCGACTCCTCGTCGCCATGGAGACCAGCGTAAACAAAAAATAAAAAGTGCTCAAAAACGCCAAAAAAGTATTTAGGCGACGTGAACAAAGTAGTAAGAAAGTAAGAAAATAGTTCATAGTGTGTGTGTGTGTGTGTGTGTGTGTGGTTACTACTATCTATTCCTTTAAGTAGTTGTACAAGGTACATACTCTCTTGAGTAGTGGCTGCTAGAGCCATATACTCAGCTTCGCAGGTTGATAGTGCCACCGTTGGCTGTTTCCTACTCTTCCACAATATAACTGGACCATTCTCAGTTAAGCTGAAACAGTATCCAGTTGTGCTCCTCCTGTCATTTGTGTCAGCTGCCCAATCAGCGTCACTATATCCCTCAAGCTGTAGGCTTCCCTCACATTTCTGGAAGTGTAGTTCTTGATCTATAGTACCCTTTAAGTACCTCAGTAGGTGTTTTGCTGTAGCCCAATGCTGCTGCTTTGGTTCTGCTAGGTGTTGTGATAGTTTACTAACAACCCAGCTCAGGTCAGGTCTGGTACATGTCATAATGTATATTAAGCTACCTACTATCTCTCTATATCCTGTTGAGTCAATAACTTCACCCTCACTGTCAAAGTTTAACCTTTGCTCACATGGGGTGGATCTTGGTTTGCATGCGGACATTCCAAATTTCGCTAACATCTTCTCTATGTGTCTCTTTTGAGTCATTTTGATCTCTCCCTCACTCTGTCTAAAGTCGATGCCCAGGAAGTGTTTAAGTGGACCCATATCTTTCATCTTAAACCTTCTCTTCAACATTTCTTTTGCCTCACTGAGTAAGGTGTTGTTACTCGCCGCTATGATTAAGTCATCTACCCATACTAACAGAATCACTTTTTCTTTGTCAGATTCTCTGCTGTAGACACAATGATCAGCATCATTTTGTACAAAACCATTCTCTGTAAGGTGATCATGCAGTAACATGTTCCAGTTACGCCCGCACTGTTTTAAACCATACAATGACTTGTTGAGTTTACACACTAGTTGTTCTCCTGTTTTTGACTTGATCTCAAAACCTTCCAGTTGCTCCATATATACCTCACAGTCCATAGGAGCATGGAGGTAAGCAGTCTTTACATCCATTTGGTGTAGGGTAAGATCCTCTTGTACAGCCACCTGCATCAATGCTTGGACAGAGGTCATGTTGGCTGTCGGTGAAAAAGTCTCTTTATAGTCAATCCCTTCCACTTGACCATACCCCTTTGCAACGTATCTGGCTTTACAAGTCTCAGATCCATCTGTGCTCTCTTTCACTGCATATACCCAGCGACCTCCCACTGCTTGTTTGCCTGTTGGCAGTGGGGTCAGAGTGAAAGTCTCATTCTCTGTCAAAGAGTTCATCTCCTCTTCCATCGCATCAGTCCACATTTTTGATTTCTTAGAGTCCATAGCCTCTCTAAATGTTTTAGGTACACCATAAGCCACTCTGTAGAAATAATCTACATTTTCACTTTCGTCACTATTACACTCTTTACACTGGTACTCCTTTAAGTACTCTGGAGCTTTTCTCTGTCACATAGGATACTTCCTTTCTTCTTGTTCTCTCTGAGTACTATCTGTCTGGGTCAGACCTACCTCATCAGTCTTCTCAACACTGGACTCTTTACTTTCCTTAGGCTGTCCCTGACCCTGGTTGATTACCTTCGGTGGTGTATCTCCATAACTCTCAATGTCGTCACTCACGTCACAATCTGTCTGAGTCTGGCTATCTGCGCTACCTTTGGTGATGAATTTCACCAGCCTATGTTTTAGGACTTTTCCTGTCTCAGGATAATACACGTTATATGCTGGACTATATTTATCATAGCCTACAAAGATCCCCTTTTTACACCTAGGATCCAGCTTCTTCTTATCCTGCTGATATATGTAGCATTCAGAGCCAAATATCTTCATGTTAGATAGGTTAGGTGTTTTTCCTGTGAAAACACGGTAAGGTGTCTGCTCCAGCCGCTTACTGTAGCACCTGTTGCGGATTTGAGCTGCTGTCTGTACAGCATATGTCCATAATTGCTTTGAGAGGTTACTCTCCAAAAGCATGCATCGTGACATCTCAAATAAGGTTCTCCACCCTCTTTCGGCAGTTCCGTTCTGATGAGGTGAGTAGGGTGCACTGGTCTCGTGCCTTATCCCATTACTCCTAAGTAAAAACTGGAACTCCTGTCCGGTAAACTCTGTCCCGTTATCAGACCTTATGCACTTAATCTTTCCATATGGAGCTACGTCTGCTATGAATTTTTCTGTAGCTTTTGTCGTGTCACTCTTTAATAAAGTATGGAAAAATCATCCCACTGTAATCATCAGTAAATGCTATCACATCCAATCCAATCCAATCCAATCCAACTTTATTTGTTAAGCACTTTAAAAACAACCAAAGTTGACCAAAGTGCTGATACCTGTATCCATCTTTATCTGCTGGTTCTATAGGACCGCATACGTCTGTGTGCACTAGCTCTAGTACAGTTGTAGCTTTAGCGTCTGCTTGTCTTTTTCTGCTTTGTGTAAACTTGCCCTGTGTGCATATTTCACACTTTTGATTGGACTTATCATGTTTACCTTTTATAGACATCCCTTCAACCCCCTTCTCTAATTTTGCAACATCATCAAAATTACAATGGCCAAGTATTCTATGCCACGTTTGAATGTCATGACAACCATACACTTCATCAACATTTTCATTTTCTACTATGCTAAGGTAATACAGCCTACCATACACATCCATTTTGAACTTGGTACCATCCTTGTGGAACAGCCAGTTATCACCGTCCTTGAAGTGGACCTCGGCTCCGTTGGCTGTCGCTGCTTTGACTGAAAAGATGTTTTGTGGAAACGATGGGATGTAGAGTGCTTGCTTGAGCCTCGTTTTCACTTGTTGTCCCTCGCTGTCCAGCAAGTAGACTTCGGCGTCTCCCCTCATCTTCGCCATCCCGCTCACCTTGGTCCCGTCGGCAAGCTCGACCATGTGGTCCTCGGGTCTGAAGCTCATGTCCACTGTTTTGAACTTTGTGGCGTCGTTGATCATGTGTGTTGTGGCGCCACAGTCGACCATTAGACCCTTTTTGTTTCCTCTTTGTGTAGGACAGTCACTCGCGTTAAAGAAGCAGAAAGATGTAGGCTCTGCAACCGTCTCTCCGTCAGCTTTCTTCACATGGTCACGGCCTCGTCCTCGACCGCGTCCCCTTCCTCGCTGTGGTGTGTCCCATTTTCGTTCCTCTCTTCTCGCCTGGGATTCGTCAGGACATGTTCTGGCCATGTGACCCTTTTTACCGCACGTGTAACACTCGACATCAGCCAGATTAATTTTCTTTCCTCTCCCTCTTCCACGGGACCACGTTACCCCGCTAGTCTTCATCACGTTGTCTTCTTCTACATTCACGTCACTCTTTCCATATTTTTCAGTACTCTCATAACTTCGCAGTTTTGTTTTAAACTCACTGAGCGTTACAATGTCATTTGTCTGGGTGATGTGCATGACGAATGGCTTGTATGAATCAGGTAACCCCTTTACTACCATGGCTATTTGAAGCCCATCACTAATATGCTAATAAGTCTGCTCTTCTCAATGACGTGAATATAGTCTCTGCTCGAATAATATAGTCAGTGATTGTTTCATTGCCAGCCTTATGGAGCGAGGAAAGTTCCCAATACAAACTCACAACGCGGGGTTTGTCCTTTCCGGCATAGTGCTCGCGAAGAATCTCCAGTGCTCTTCTTCCATTACGTTTAACGTCCCTCATTACCAATGACAAACTCTTGTTGTCCAGACATTGCACTAGCTCTGCATATGCCTCTCCGTCTTCCTCATCTATCTGCGGCTCCTCCAAGATAACTTCTCTGAGGCCGCGCAACTCCATATGCGCGAGGAACCTCGTTTCCCAGAGTTCATAATTTTTCTCGTCACCGTCAAATAAAAGTTTGAACCACCTTTGGCCTGCATGACTGGGCCCATAACCTGTAGCGTTAGTCATTTCTGCAGCAGTCTATCGTTATCACAGTCACCAAAGTGATTAGCTAGCACCTGCTAGTGGCTAATATTCACGGGAGAAAAAGGACAGACCGCCATCGTCTCTTTGGTCTGAACTCACACTGACCGTTTATTCTGCGCATGCTCACAATAGCATCCTTGTGCGCGCAGGCACATGACATCACTGCTTAGGCTATTTAACATGGCTTTGCTACTCATAAAATATGCTTAACACTAACGTTAGCTAATATTAAGTTACCTGTTACATCAGTTAGTTAGCAGTTAGCTAACCTAACAGTCTGACAACTTACAGTCTAAATTATGGATTTGAACACAAACATTACCTCAGGTTATTAACTTATAACAGGGCAATGTTTTATAAGTATAACAGTTATAAGGTGAAGTTCATGTTAGGAGAGCAAACAGATCGTGACTCTTCCGCGGTGTCCATATTCACGTTTTTGTTGTTTTGTTCTCCGTTGAAATCCCACAACTCAAATTCACTCAAATAATAATTTGGCGTGCATCTTAACAAACAAAGACAAGGTAAAGGATAAAGACATGATGGCTTCTAGCTAAGGCTGATTCAATATATCCAATATTAATGTTTGCTGTAATTATTATTATGGAACTATAAAATGTCCTCCATGTTCCCAGAATAAAGACTAAATCTTCAGGTGATCCAGCTTCTTTCTACTGTGACCTGCCTTGGTCTCACAATGGTGTGAAGAACTGAAACTGGACATTCAGCAAACATTTCTCTGAGGCAGAAACAATGTCATTGGTTACATTAAACTTTGGTAGGCAGAGAATCTGTAAAAAGGATTTTCTCTGGCCCCTCCCACTGACATTGAACTCAACCAATGAGATTGTTTCTGTCTCCAGAGCAGAAATGTTTGAGGAACTAAAAGCACAATCAGCTTGATGTTGAGGAGAAGGGCTGTGCAGCAGAGAGGCTCTTTAGTTTTTTCATTCTACTGCAGTGGAAGAACATTGCTCATCTGCTGTCAGTTTGACTTTAACAACTCCAAAGACATGTTGCTTTACCTCTTTTTACTTTTCTCTCACTTTATAGGTGAGTGTTAGAACAGAGATCAAAGTCTCATTTAACCTGCTGTGTTAACCAGATATTTGGTACTAGAGCTTTATCTGTGTAAGGTTACAATTTCCATGGTAGAAAAATACATTTGGTTTATTAAATGTATCTAAAACGATGAAAGAAAAATAACTTGTTGATGTCAGAATGTCTTGCAGACTAACTGACATGAATAATACTCATTTTGCAGCCCTGGGTTCCATGAACATCATAAAGCCAGACAATACTGAAGAACATGTTGCAGAGGGAAGAAACATCAACCTGACCTGTAAATATGACGGTGCCATCTTCAGCATTCAATGGTACCGACAATACCAGAGATCCAGACCAGAGTTCCTGCTCTACATCACAGAGGAAGGATTGATTCATCCAACTGATTCTGATTTCAAAGCTCACATTAACAAAACCGAGAAACGTGTACATCTGGAGATCATCTCAGCTAAAGTGACAGACTCTGCTGTGTACTACTGTGCTCTGAGGCCCACAGTGACAGGAAACACCAAAACTCTGTACAAAAACCTTTGGAGCAAAGACAACAGAATACTCCACAACATCCACTAGAGGGAGTCACACACTGTTAAGCAGTAAAGATACAGCACAAAATAAGGGAAATGTTATACATAAAGTCACTTTAACATGTGTGTAACATTTCACATTTCATCTCTCCATTGATGTTACACATACTAATGTAATATTTGACGCTGAGCTTCCTTTTTCATTGACGGACTAAAGTTGTACTGTGATGATGATTTTATTTTTAAAAATTCTTACATTTACAAACCCTGAAAAAGGTGATCCATCCTTTAAATCACTAATTTAAATCCAGTAAAAAAAAGAATCATTAACAGAAAACTTCCCACCTCCAGCTTTTGGAAAATGCTGCTACCAGTCTGTTAACCAGGAGGAAGAAAATACAGATCTAAGAGGAGAGGGAGAGATTCAGGGAGGAGCTAAGCTGTTACTGAACTATAGAAGAGAGAGGAACTTCCATATTCAGCAGAGTTCAATACACAAACCAGAAACATTACCTTTATCCAACATGCTGTCACTGCATCATTGTGTGTTTTCTCTACTGTTTCTGTACTTTATAACAGGTATATTACATGCATCAAGATGGAGTCTTAGTGTTTGCAACTGTTACAACATTGTATAACAGAGTTATCTCTTCCTTTAGGTGTCAGCTGTGAAGAACTCACTCCAAGAAACAAGAGTTTAGTTTCAAAGACAGCACTGTTACTCTGTCCTACAATTATTACAAAGGTAATGATGATTATTTTTTCTGGTATCGACAATATCCAGGAAAACCACCAGAGTTCCTCATCTCTCATCTGAAATCAGGAGAAATCCTTGCAAAACCAGTCTCTGGAATGTCTGTTAAAGTGAGTGAGGATAAAACCCAAATGGATCTGCAGATCTCCTCTGCTGCAGTGACAGACTCTGCTCTGTACTACTGTGCTGTGAGGCACACAGTGACAGGAAACACCAAAACTCTGTACAAAAACCTTTGGAGCAAAGACAACAGAATACTCCACAACATCCACTAGAGGGAGTCACACACTGTCAAACTACAGTGGTATGTGACTGAGATGTAAAGCTTTAGAAATTAAACTACTGACACTGAAATAGAAAGGATTATACCTTTCAGATATAATAAAGCACAATTCTGAATGAAGTAGTGAAGCAGTAAAGATAAAGCACAAAATAAGTGAAATGTTATACATAAAGTCACTTTAACATGTGTGTAACATTTCATAAAATTATATCAACAATTATTGTTACATAGGCAAGTGCTGTAGATACAGGTCATAGGTCTGTACTCTCTTTGTGATTCATATAATACTAACAATCATGATATTATTAACTTCATTTATTTTAGTTTGAGTGAGTCCAATAATTTGACACTAAACGTCTTTCAGAGACAGGTTATAAAGATTTGATTGAGTACATTTGACAATACTAAGTTAAGGGGGCCGGGCAGATACAGGACAGAGGCCATGTTAAACAATTAGGACCTCTCTCATTTTTATTATCTTGCTTCTTCTCTCAGGTCTTGCAGGTTGATCAGTAATTGAGTGGTTTGAGTTCATGACTCAAGATGATGCACTCGGTGCTTGGTCAAAGGTTTGTATCCTGACCATGGAAAGCTTTAAGAAAAATGTCTTAAACTTTCGGAGCTAGTTTGACATTAGGTCTACAAAATGTTCCAGATCTTTTCTAAATTATTAACTGTATTCAGCTGTTATGCACACTCAAACATATTTTAAACCCATCTTAAATTTTGATTGTTTTGTTATATATTCCAGTTAATCCAGTAATTATGGTAGCAGTTTTATTATTTGTATTATTATTAATAATAATTATTAAAAACTAAAGATTTAACTCAGGACGTTCACGTGCTGTAAAGTGTCAATCAGTGTGACCTTATCAGCTACTTGTTACCTGATGGAAATGATGGCATTTCGTGAATAACAGCAGCACAGCAGTGACAAACACACTATTTGTCAGAGTTGTGAGAGGAAGGAGGGAGGGATTAAGGGAGGAGCAAAACTGAGACTCAAGTACAGAAAAGACAGAAACTTTCACAGTGGTGTTTCATCCAAAAAACAGACAGATTGTCTTTATCTTTAAGATGCTGTCAGTGAACTTCAGTCTGTTTGTGACTTTGTTTCTGCTCACAATAAGAGGTAGGTGAGATCATTAACATTAAAAGAGCTTCATTGATAAAAACCTTTAGATCATAAAGTTACAGAGTTATCTCTTCCTTTAGGTGTCAGCTGTGAAGAACTCACTGCAGTCAAGAAACAAGAGTCCAGTTTAGAAGACAGCACTGTTACTCTGTCCTACACATACTCCAGAAAAGCAACTGGTCGTGATCAGTTTTACTGGTATCGACAATATCCAGGAAAACCACCAGAGTTCCTCATCTTTCACTTGGGAACACAAAATGCAACAACCTCTAGACTGTCAGTTACAGTGAGTGAGGATAAAACCCAAATGGATCTGCAGATCTCCTCTGCTGCAGTGACAGACTCTGCTCTGTACTACTGTGCTGTGAGGCCCACAGTGACAGCAAACCCACAGTCTCTGTACAAAAACACAAGCTGACACACTGACAAGCTGCTGGAAGCCTTTTTTCCACACTGTTGGACTCAACTTTTTAGCTCCACTAGAGGGCGACATTATCAAGTAGGCGGTGCACTACTTCTGCACTGTGTTCAACCATTCTGTCAATAATAACTGCTGCTGTGAAGAGAACAATTGTCACACTGAATGTTGAACATCAGCTAGTTTCTCCTGTTGATTTAAACCTTGTTGTAGAGATGGAACATTGGCTGTGGATTATTCTTGCTGCTCTTTTCTTTGGTAAGATAGAAAGCACAACATGTTTTTATTCTTTTCTAAAGATTGATGGAAACTGGAGTTCAGAGCAGAAATCTCTCAACAGTTGAGCTGTTTCTGTCCACAGAGTAACACTGTACACTTGATATTTTCCACTGTCTTCTCCTCTCAGCCTCATGAACAATGTTAGTCTAATGGCTTCATTTTCTCCACTTTTTCCAGGACTAATAGCTGGAGACACAATCTCTCCTGTAGGAGATAAAGTCAGTGGAAGAGAAGGAGAATCTGTCACACTCAAATGTCAATATCAGACAACTGTCAGCAATATTTGGCTTAACTGGTACAGACATTCTGACCTTCAGGCTCCTCAGTTTATACTCTATAAAGGAGCAAAAGATAACACAGGTCGTGAATATATTCCAGATAATCGATATGAATCTGAAACAACAGATTCATCAACTGAACTGACCATCAGAAAACTAACCCTGGCAGACACAGCTCTCTACTACTGTGCTCTAGAAACACAGTGATACAAAGTGTAGAAGAGGCTGTACAAAAACCTGAACACAGATATCTGACTACTCTTCAAAGAGGAGGGAAGTGGTATTCAAACCACAGCTTCATATCAGATGGATTCTGCTAATTCCTGTTTTATCAGAGTCACTGTGGTTACAGCTGCTAATGAAACACTGTGGGAGGATTCACATGAGCAGCAAATCCACATCAATGACAAACCAACTGGATGATGCTTCAAACACAAGACACCATGGAAACAAATAAATCAACACTGAAAATTAAAATGAGTAATATGTGACATCTGAACAACAACTTGTCTAACATACAAACTTTTAAATAAATAGTTTTGTGACCTGTGATTATGTATCTAAAGTGCATTTATCATACATTGTTTTATTCCTATTAAATTTCTATTTGTTTCCCAACATTTACCAGGTCAGACTGGGTCCAGTATTTTATAGCTCAAATATTCAGTCATATACTGAGCATACTGAGCTGATCTGTTACCAGCTGGACTGGGTACAGTCTGAATATTTCTCAGCAGAAGTCCACCTTTACAGTTTCTGGTCTTTAACATTTTTATTCAGTTTTGTTTTCCATCTGATTGAACTGCAGTAAATGATGGACTGTTTGTTGATTTGTAATCATATAAGACAGGGCTGTGAATGAGGCCTGTCAGTGTGATCAGGCTCCTCCTTCTAATCCACCAACTTAGTGTTGATGAAGACTAAACAGAGAGATCACAGCCTTCTTTCTACTTGCTGTAGCTCACAGTTACTCAACACTGCAGATATGACGCAGCCTCTGTTCATCTCAGTGTTGCTGGCTGCTCTGTGCCTTGGTATGAACACAACTCTGTTTCTGTGATATCAATCCAACATTGACATGATTCTTTAACAGCACACTGATCCTGTTTGTTGCTGTTTTACAGAATGCAGAGCACAAAGAGACAACGTGCTGCAACCAAAAGGAGATGTGACTGCGACTGAAGGAGAGGAAGTAACACTTGACTGTCAATATAACAGCAGTTCATCAAATGATTATCTCTTCTGGTACAAACAGGATGGAAACAACAGCCCCAAATTCATACTGAGCCGTTTCAAGGTTGACACAGGGAAAACTGAGGACACGTTTAAGGAATTTTCATCCACACTTGATTCAACCATGGGCCAGTGCTGTAGATGCAGGTCAGATGTCTGTATTGTAGTTATTGCAGGAACTGTTTGTTATGTCGGCTAAGATGAAAACATTTTCATTTAAGAAATATAGAGATCTTATTCCCAACCGCCGGTTGCCAGGCCCCAAAATGAAAAAAAAAAAAAAACACAGTAAAGTAACACCCTGCAAAAACATCCCAGTACAGTCCCCTCTTGCTAATATAGACACCTGACTATGAGAAAGGGGGCTTAAACCTTTGCCACTGCTCCTCTCCCATTTAAGAGATTTAAAAAGGTTTATGATTTTATGATTGTTTGGACGTATGTGATTTTCTTTTTAAAGAAGGGTTTAAATAATATAAGGCTCCCTTGCTTAAATCTTCTAAGAGAAATAATGTCCCATTATAGGCACCTATACCTTGCTAGGCAGCGTTAATGATGCAGATGTTGTCTCTTCTATTTCAATCCTCTTGGAGTGCCAAGGTTTCCTCCCAAGACTCTGTGATATCTGTGCTGTGTCTCAGAGGCAGAACGGGTCATATACTAATAGGAAGGTTGTTGGTTCGATCCACGGCTCCTTGCACAACATGTTGGAGTATCCTTGAGCAAAATACTGAACCCCAAATTGCTCCTGATGCTGTGCATCGGTGTGTGAATGTGTATGAATGTGTTAGTTTCAAAGTAGTACATAGCCATCTTGTCTACAGGTCACATGGTGATGCTCATTTTCCCCCTAAAAATGTGAAAACTGGCTTAAATACAATGTTGCCAATGGCATATAGTCTGGATATTACACTGATATGGACCAAATCCATAGTCCTCGTTGTGTACAGAAACATATTCCAAGGAATTTTATATCTAAAATAGTGAGTGAAAGACACCCACTGGATCTTACTGACTAGAACTGCTGCATCCTCATATCAGCTTCAGCTGTGTCATTAGTCTTGTTGGTATTTGGTCATTAACCAAAGTATGGGACTAATTAAATACTGATTAAAGGTCAGAGGATCACCAAAGTTCTTACAATTCATCCTGAGGGGAACATGAATGAACCAAATATAATGACAACCATGAATATCTGGATAAAAGTTCATAACAATCCATTCAGCAGTTTCTGAGATATTTCACTGCTGAATATAAATGAGATGTAAATGTTGAGAGTTCCTCAACAGATGATAAAGAGGAAGGACCAATGATGTGAAGGCCCAGATCCATCAGAGTATCAATGTTCTTCCTCTCTCTCCTCCCCTCTCACTGCAGACATGAAACACTGGCTGAGAAACATCCTGATTCTGA